TCGCCCCCCCCCCCCCCGTGTAGCCTCCCGAAATGAACAGCGAGTGCATTTACTCCCTTCTGTTGAGCCTCTGTGTAGCCTCCCCAAATACAGCGGGTGCATTTAGCCCCCTCTGTGTAGCCTCCCCAAATGCAGTGTGTGTTTGTTTAGGCCCCTCAGTGTAGCCTCGCCAAATGCAGTGTGTGCATTTAGCCCCCTCTGTTGAGCCTCCACAAATGCAGTGTTTGCGTTTAACCCCCTCTGTGTAGCCTCCCCAAATGCAGTGTGTGTTTGTTTAGGCCCCTCAGTGTAGCCTCGCCCCTCTGTGTAGCCTTCCCAAATGCAGGGTGTGTATTTAGGCCCTTCTGTGTAGCCTCTCCAAATGCAGGGTGTGTATTTAGCCCCCTCTGTGTAGCCTCCCCAAATGCACAGTGTGTTTGTTTAGCCCTCTTTGTTGACCCTCCCCAAATGTATTGTGCATTTAGCCCCCTGTGTAGCCTCCCGAAATGTAGTGTGTGCATTTAGCCCCCTCGGTGTAGCCTCCCCAAATGCACAGTGTGTGCATTTAGTCCCCTCCCCAAATGCAGTGTATGCGTTTAGCCCCCTATGTGAATCCTCCCTAAATCCCCAAATGCACTGTGTGTATTTAGCCCCCTCTGTGTAGCCTCCCCAAATGCAGTGTTTACATTTAACCCCCTCTGTGTAGCCTTCCCAATTGCAGTGTGTGCATTTAGCCTCCTATGTGTAGCCTTCCCAAATGCACAGTGTGTGTATCTTGCCCCCTCTGTAGAGCAGGCCCAAATGCAGTGTGTGTCTAGAGCAGTCCAAAATGCAAATGTAAAATGGACAAGTAAAATTGAACAAGTATTTTTGCCCCCCTGTGGAGCAGTCCAAAACGCACACTGCATGCGCTTCACAGTTTTTTGGAGCAGGCCAAAATGCACATCATTATCTTACCAGGTAAATAAAGGACATGTAAAAATGAATGAGTATTTCCTTTATTGTTTGCCACTGTGTGAAAGTTTGTCCTGATGAAACAAACAGCAATATGTCCAAAATTATGTTAAACATAGGGTTAACAGAGTAATAAGAATCCGTCCTGTTGTGTGTCTCTCGGTCCCAAAGTCGCTTGCTACTCTGCTCTGTTGGACCTGAATATCCACATCAGTAAATCCATGATGTATATCACAGCAGGCCTTTTCCGGCACTGTGAATGACAACAACCAGTCCGTGAGGCTCCTCATAGTGGAGTTGTACAAATGTATGCAGAAAATCCAAGACAGACTGCAACGTCTGCTGTAGCACAGCTCTGATGTTTCCACTGTTTCCATGCATCCTAGAAATACACTGTAGACAGAATGATTTGGTAAAACGTGCTGAAGTCAACAACAGGGCTTTGGGGGAAGTTTCAGATATCATCTGTAATCAGAGTCGATCCCTAGCAGAGAGGATCTGGCTGTAGCATGAAGGAGCAGTTGTTTATAAAGAGTGAAGAGAACCCGCCCACAGCAAAAGTCTGATTTCCTGCCTCTGCTCATGTGCAAAATGCGCACTGTGAGTGGAGCAGGCCAAAATCTCTAACCTGCTCTCCAGAGGTGGGAGGTATACAATTCAAGATATTTTAAAAGATATGTTCTAATTTACATTCTTAAATGTACAAATGGCTCAAATTACAGATTTCTTATTAGATTTAAATTTTGTTTTTTTCATCATTTGCACACATAGCAGAGACATTTTAGAAACTTTCCGAGATCTTTCCTGTGTTTTTCGCTCTTATCCAACTATGTTGAGGCTGCTGAATTCCTTTTATTTAGCATGTTTTGAGTAATGGGGATAAAGTCCTAAATACCACTATTAAAACTGCCCATCAAGGTCCTTGCCTAGTAGAAACCCCAATTCCAATGAAGTTGGGACATTGTGTAAAATGTTAATAAAAGCAGAATACAATGACTTGAAAATCCTTTTTGACCCACATTTAACTGAATACACCACAAAGACACTTTTTAATTTTTTGTGAACTTTTTATGAAAGCAGTGTGCTCTTGTGAATTCCTATTACTGACTGCTGAATGTAGAACTTTTTGTCTCATCTGTGGGATTTAGTTGTTTTTGACTGAGGGTCATTCATACAGGAGCTAAATTAAGCCTTCCCACAGCCTGGTCACAAAAATCACCATTATTTGCACAGTATGTGCGGTAGATTCAATTTTAAATAGCTAATATAGCTGTATACTCATCTCTATCGTGTTGAAGATGATGCTCTACTACTTTAATGACTCTGTGCAGGCTGTTAGGTTTGCATCATGCTGAAGGGGGCGCTATGTAACAGGCACACGGAAGCTCAGTGCTCCTGGCCATAATTGGAGATGTGCACGTCCCGTTCAGTCTAGTCGTACATGTATACATACAGGCAGAGCCTGCTGGTCAACAGGAGTCCAGCTCCAGCTGATGAGACGTATTATTGCTAAGTGCACAGTACTGGCAGCCAACGTCGCTTTCCTGTTGCTGCTTTTTTCTGGTATGTCAGTGTCTTTTACCTCATGAAGTAGCCTTAGCTAATTTATGGGTATCACAGTTAGCATAACGGTGTCATGGGGCGAATTATTAGCGTCGTTTCTAGAGTTCTCTGTATGATTAGGAACAATTCAGACCCATTTAGATGAGTTCAGAACAACGACGTGCATTTCAGTAAGGAATGTAGTCTGTCAGGAATGGATGGTTGTTTTAGTCTGTAGCGTGCTAAGAGTGCAGTGTGCTAGCTTACACCGCCACATAGCGCAGTGTTGCACAATGTAATACAACTGTGTGATAGGCTGTATTTCCCTGACTAAACTAGACCAGTGCTGGAATGGCTCCCTGTGTAACAGGATAGCAACACTCCCTGTGTTTCAATATGGCGAATTGGTGCTTCGGGTTATAGTAACCAAACAGCTGAGAGTTCAGAAAATTAAGACCGCAGTATTTTGTAATCTGTTGTTTTCTAGCCCACACCTGGTAGGCTAATCCATGCGCAGCGATGACGTCAGTAAACACATTTTGATGTATTTATCTATCTACAGTGCTCAGCATAAATGAGTACACCCCATCAGATTTGTCAGAAAACCTTTACTTTACTTTCAGAATCAACATTTTCTGTGGGACACTATATACTACAAAATACTCCCACAAATGCTGACCAGTTATTGCAGCCAAGATTTGTTAATGTGCACAAGCATTTTCCTTACAAATTCATTCAAGACCATGCTGCAAAAATGAATATACCCCAATGAAAGTCTTGGGAGCAAAGCTAAATATTAGACAACAAAATCCTTATGAACAAGAATTCAACTACAGGTGAGTCTAATTATTCATTAAACAGGTGTCTAGCAGACAGTTGATTATAAAATGACATGACAAAGAAAACCCCCTCCTATTTCATGCTGTCAGCAATGGCACCACATGGAAGAGAAATGTCACAAGACCTGAGAAGGAAAATAATTTCTTTACACAAGAAAGGTGAAGTCTAAAAGAAGATCAGCAAAGCTTTACTTATCAGTCAGAATACTGCAGCAAAAGTGACACAGAATTTAACAGAGATGGAACTGCAACCATCTCACAGAGATGTCCAGGCTGTCCACGGACGTTAACACCTCAACAGGAGCATTTTCTGATGAGGGGTTGAAGAAAATTGCCATTCAAGTTCACTGCAGTTAGCTAAAAAAGTAGAAAGCCAAACAGGGGTCATTGTTTCCTGTAACACAGTACGCTGTGCACTGCAGAGGAATGGCATGCATGGGTGTCGTCCACAAAGGAAGCCTCTCCTAAAACACATGAACAAACAAGCCTGCCAGGGCCCCTGCTGAAAAAGAGGAAGACTACTGGGACTCTGTACTCTGGAGTGATGAGACCAAGATAAATGTTTTTGGAACCGATGGCTTCAAAACTATGGCGTCGCAAAGGTGAGGAGTACAAAGAAAAATGCATGGTACCTTCAGTGAAACATGGTGGTGGCAGTGTCCTTCTGTGGGGCTGCATGAGTGCTGCTGGTGTCCGGGAGCTGCATTTCATTGATGTTCCCGTGAATTCACAGATGTACTGCTCTATATTGAAAGAGAAGATGCTACCCTCACTCCATGCCATTGGTCATCATATGCTTTTCCAACATGACAATGATCTAAAACGCACATCTAAGGCCGCTGTTACAGTTCTGAAGAAGAACAGGGTGAAAGTGATTCAGCGGCCAAGTATGTCTCCTGATCTGAACCCAATCGAACACCTATGGGCAATTCTGAAGAGACCAGTTGAGCATCACTCTCCATCCAGCATCCAGGCTCTAAAAGAGGTCGTTCTTGAAGAATGGAAAAAGATAGAGGTTTCCAACTTGTTCAGTCCATGCCTAGAGGGCTTGGTGCTGTCCTTGCAAATCATGAAGGTCATACAAAATACTAGATGTAGTAGTTTTTTGTTGTGGGGTGTATTCATTTTTGCAGCAACTAATTTGAGTAAAACTGAAGCTTTTGTAATCCAAATTATATTAACCTTACTTTCATGAAATGAGCTAAACAAATGTTCTATACAATGCAGGGTGAGAGGAGTCCTTGAGAATGCATGTCACATTTTGTTACTATATTGAAACTTCATATTTGAGTTGTTGGATACTGTTTAAGTTATGTATTATATATAATAATATATGTTTAGGATAGAAAGATAAAAACATGCAGGGCTGACACTGATATGACGTAAGTAAACGGCTACAGTTAATACAGTTGATCATGGGTATGTTAGATTTACAGTATGCATGCAAATGATCAAGCACTGACAGTAGTTAATGGTACTGGTGGCAAAGAAGCAGTGGAGGGCCCCCAAATCAAATTTTGCTTAGGGCCCCATAAAGACTTTTGCTGACCCTGCCTGAAACAAGGCTTCTAAAGCACTGAATGATTATGAAGCAACTGTGCTGAAAATGGTTGTTTCCAAGTAAGGGGTGTACTCATTTATGCTGAGCACTCTATTAATCTATCGATGTGGCTGTGCGGAGCAAATTGTGTGGCGGGCTGGCTGGTTGTAGGCCTGTACATCAAAATGACACTAGTCAGTTAACGCACAGTAGTGTTACAGTGAGTTGGTCCTTGAATTACCTGTATGTACACATTTCAGTAATGATTAGGCTACAGCCCCTGCAGAGGGGCTAACATTTCAAGTCTTTATTTTACATATGGAGCTTACTATTGAATGTGACATCTAACATGAAAAAGTCAGGAATTCTCACATTGTTGAATTGTAATTCAATTTTATTTTTATAGCACGAAGTCACAACAAAAGTCATCTTTTACAGTCATACTTTACAGAGTAAGGTCTAGACCTTACTCATTATTTATAAAGGAAAACCCAACAAATTTCCCTTGAACAAGCACTTGGCAACAGTGGGGAGGAAAAACTTCCTTTAATGGAAGAAACCTCCAACAGACCCCGGCTCTTGGTGGGCGGCCTTCTGCCTCCACTGGTTGGGGTGAGTGAATAGAGGAGAGAGAGAAAAGAAAAGCAACAAGAAACGAAAGCAAACAAACAATGGGCCGGTTGATGTGGCCGGTGACAGCTCATCAGAAATGTAGAGTTCCAGGGCAACCTGCAGAAAGGTACAGGGAGAGAGAGAGGACACAGTAAGTTAGTGACATGTCATGTCAGAAGTTTACATACACTTAGGGTGAAGTCATTCAAAGTGATTTATTTATTTATTTATTTATTTATTTTTAAACCACTCAACAGACATCATGTTAAACTCATTTTGGCAAGTTGGTTAGGACATGTACTTCATGTAAATAGTACAAAGATAAATATACAGTATCTGCATATGAACAGTGTGCGAATGAATAACAGCAGTATTCTGAGTATGTGCAAATTCACAGAACACTTCAGTGTTGCAGGTAACAAAAATGTATTGCATTAGTCCTGGGAGGAGAGATGAGAAGGGGTGAGGTGTGTGTAGTGTTGTAGGGGAAGGCAGGGGCAGTCAACAAGGGACAGAGTTCTGTAAGGAAACAGCTGTGGGGACGAAGCTGTTCCTGAGTCTACTGGTTTTGGTCTGGAGGCTCCTGAAGCACCTCCCAGAGGGCAGGAGGTCAAACAGTTTGATAGCAGGGTGAGAGGAGTCCTTGAGAATGCATGTCACATTTTGTTACTATATTGAAACTTCATATTTGAGTTGTTGGATACTGTTTAAGTTATGTATTATATATAATAATATATGTTTAGGATAGAAAGATAAAAACATGCAGGGCTGACACTGATATGACGTAAGTAAACGGCTACAGTTAATACAGTTGATCATGGGTATGTTAGATTTACAGTATGCATGCAAATGATCAAGCACTGACAGTAGTTAATGGTACTGGTGGCAAAGAAGCAGTGGAGGGCCCCCAAATCAAATTTTGCTTAGGGCCCCATAAAGACTTTTGCTGACCCTGCCTGAAACAAGGCTTCTAAAGCACTGAATGATTATGAAGCAACTGTGCTGAAAATGGTTGTTTCCAAGTATTTGACACAGTCAAAAATAGTGACATCTGTTGGTCAGACCCTTGATACTGCATTTGTATGGGTGACCCAAATATGTGGCCATAATGAAACATTTGGAATGTAAGTGGTCTGGATACTTTTATTATTGTTATTTAGCTCAATAAAGCATGCACTATGAAAATCCATCACCATTATAGACACTAAAGTATGTTTTTAAGGGTGCATTAACTAACATTTTACACAGTCTGGTAAATCAGGTGAAAATGGGATAGGATGTGGTACCTCTCTGCTGTCCCACCTCCCTCCATGGCAGTCTATTTCCCACAGCATCTCTGTGGTGCCTCTGTTCCAGCGTCTCTATCCTGTGTTTTCAAAATACCTTTCATAAATTAGGCCCAGCTGCCACCTAGCAAAGGTAATAGAAGTGTTTTTCAACTGCAAGTAGTCATTTCAAGGGTACAGGGAGAGAGAGAGGACACAGTAAGTTAGTGACATGTCATGTCAGAAGTTTACATACACTTAGGGTGAAGTCATTCAACCAGCCATGGAGGAGCTCTTGTCTGCTATAAATCTGAAAATATACCCAAAACAGAGCAAAAACCAGGGTTAAAATTGGTTTGGCTTTTTGAGGTGGAGAGTGTTAAAAGCAGTGAAAAAACTCACCAAAGATGAATATACAGTATCTGCATATGAACAGTGTGCGAATGAATAACAGCAGTATTCTGAGTATGTGCAAATTCACAGAACACTTCAGTGTTGGTGGCATTATTCCTTCTGGATGCATTAGGATCTAAAGCTAATGCTATTGTTTTGGTAACATTAGTAACCTAGCATTGAGTAATTCTAACTGCATTAGTCCTGGGAGGAGAGATGAGAAGGGGTGAGGTGTGTGTAGTGTTGTAGGGGAAGGCAGGGGCAGTCAACAAGGGACAGAGTTCTGTAAGGAAGTTTGTTTTGTTTTTCTTTTCACATTAGCCGTAACCAGCGCATTCTACTGAACTGATGCTAGTTTTGGGGGGAGCCTTTTTTGTGCTGTTTGGCCTAACAAGGCATCCATAGTTTACATTGTTGCTAGGAGAAAGGACGTGATGAAAGGGGCAAAGAGCAGTTAGGACCGGTCTATAGTGTCAGTATGTTTGGAGTCTGAATCACATTTATTTGCTTGCAGTGTAGATATCCTCTTAGCTGTTAAAGATATATAGTAACTATACTGTACGTAGTATATACACAAACAGCTATACTGTACAGTATAGACTGTTTTAGGCTCACACTAGTTATTTCCTTTCACATAGGTATTGTATAGACATGTACAGCAGTCAGCTGGCTGTTAGCTGAAGTCTCTGTGTTGTGTTCATTTGCAATTTTCATCTAACCTTGGGCATTATGAAGGGTTTTTGGGGTTGGCTCGATGCGTCAGGGTTTTTTGAGAAAGTGTTGGGTACAGCAGTCACATTCTTTGATACAATGCTGTTTGGTCGCACACTGCTGAACACTGTGCCATACAAGGCCATCTTTGTCGAGCTGTTTCTCACAAAGCATCTCATAGAATTGTCTCTGGCCGGCTGTGAATCTGACATACTATTTATATGTGTTCTATGTTGAATTGTTGTGCCTCTCTGCTGCCACAATGTTTTGATCCAGAGAAATGAAATATAGTCCATCCTTCATCTGGTAATGAGGTAATGATCAGATTGTTCACAGGGACTAAAAACATTAATTTAACTGGCATAGATAGGGTTGTTTGTTGGTCATTACTCAGAACATAGACTGTAGATCTGTCAGACATGCCTTTAAATCCTTCACACCCACAAGCCTCATCTTTTCTATTTAAAACTTCCTCTAAGATTTAACCAGAAGAAACCTTCTTTAGTGCTTTTCCACTTAACATCTGTCCATTAGTATGCTCTGCTGTGAGGTCTGCCTTTTATTGTTTGGCCAAAGTGAATTAATCACTGGCTGTAGAGACCTCTGTGCCACCACCAGTGTTTTTGTTTTGTTTTGTTTTGTTTTTTGACAAGTTTTAATAAATTTGAATTTTCATGGTGTAAAGCATTTTGCCTTCTGCCCACACAAGTACACAATGAATGATCAGGTTCTTTGCACCTTTGTTTGAAATACATTCAAACCTTCACTGTCTCCATCACTGGTTGATGTGCACACGGCATAAGAAAGCCCATCTGGCACAAAATCAAATGATGTTCAAGTAACACAGTGTTACTTGGATAAGTAACTGTTGCCACTTTGGAAATTCTAATCCCTTATACCTTGTTACTGTAACGCTTTAATAAGTAAAATGTTACTGCCCAGCACAAAGGTGGGACAGAACTGAATAACCCAGCTGCTGTGCTTTTTTCCTCTCTCTCTCTCTCTCTCTCTAGTGTGACTGTGTCTCATGGCTGTCATCCTCAGAGGTGGGCTCTCTGTGGCCCTGCATCATGCCTTTGGGCAAGGCAGCAGCTCAGTGTGCCGCCCTGTACTGCCTTTTGCTCTTCTAGGTAGAGTAATCTGTTAGCTTTGGTATGTGGACTCCCCTGCTAATTCATGCTGTTAGATACATAAAGTCAAGCCAAGCTACAATGAGAAGCATCTTCAGAGCTGCAGAGCTCAATGACTTTTAATGTTTCACTGTCTTTTGTGCTCTGTGCCTCTAGTAGCAGTGTCAGCACTGTCAGGAGCTTCACAACATACAGAATGTTCCTATATCCAAACAGTCATTTACCAGCCTAAGATCACTATATACACAGTATATATGTTGCCAAGCACACTGGTGATGGACTCTGGAGCAGTGGAATGTGTTGTTGGATGAATCATGCTTCACTATCAGGCGGTCTTGTGGACAAGTCCCTGTTTGGCAGATATCTGGAAAATGCTGCATAGTTTCAGTTATAGAGTTTGGTGGATGAGGAATAGTGGACCAGGTCTGTTTGTGCTGGTGTGTGGTTTGGGATAAATTTGTCAAAGTGACAGTGACACAAAGCACTAATGTTACACAGAGCTAGAATTACTCAAATTAAAGCAGCTCAGTGATATTTATTCAATGCAGAGGTAAAACTATGACCATGCTAGGTCACTAATGTTACCAAAATACACACATTAGCTTTAGATGCTAACAGATCCAGAAGGAAGAACACCATATCGGAATCAAATCAGTCCTTTGGCTGCTTTTAATGCCCTTCATCTCCAAAGGCCAAACTGATGTTAACTAAAAAGGATTAAATTGGAGAAAGTGGTTTTTATTTTCTGAGTACAAGTTTACTTTTATTTAATTTTGAGAGATTTACATGTAAATAATTACAGGTAGAATTTTGGCCATCAGCTGTTCCTAGTCATAAACTACACTGGTAAGGAAAGAAGGAATACTCACCCGTGGAGGATAAGGCATTAATGTATTTTTTTTTCTTTGTGTGTCCATGTTCTTCGTACCTGTTAACCAGTGTTCTTCAAACTGTCTCAAACAGGTCCTGATGACCAGCACGTCTATACCTCATCTCTAGTGCTGTTCAGTATCTTGACCTGTGCTGTCATGTGTTGTTTCTCCCTCTGTCTCCTCCTCTTCCTCCAGCCTAGTCGTTGGTGTAGCCCTTCTGAGGGGTGTTTGGTTCTAGTGGTTGGTGGATTACCTCTCTCCAGCAGCCATGTCGGGCTTCAATCTGCTGCATCTAATAACCAAGAGTCAGCCTGTAGCTCTGAGGTCCTGCAGTCTTCCCTCAGGTCCACTGACTGGATGCTGTGTGCCTGCTGTGCTCTGCCTCTCTAAAGCCTTAACATCTGGCTGGTGTGTCAGCATGTCTTTACTGTCCCAGTCTGCGTGTGTTCAGAATGATGTGAGCTGCTTTCAGTTATTGACATTTGATTTGAAACAGCAGTCAGTTTTGATTGTGTTTTTTTGCTTGGACCAATGCTTAAGAGCTCCCAGACTGGACCAAATCTGAACAGGGCTGCTTATTGGATCTGTGTTTTGTCTTTGTAGTACTCTGTATCAAATACTTTATAGGGACAATAATTATATTGTTTACTCATTCTTTGGTCAGAAGTTACTGTGTGTGTATATTATATATGCATACATACACTTATGCTGTTTGCGTTTTCTTTATACATTTAATGTCATAATTCAATGAAAAATATCTTTAAAGTCAGTTACTTAGCCTCTTGTGTTTCATAACTGAATGCATTATTTTCATTGCGACATGAATTTTCTATGCCATATTCAAATCAAATTGCAGCAAAGCTGTGTATAGCATTTTAGCGATGTAGACCTGCCAATACTAACTGCAAAGTGCCGTTACTAAATTCCATGAAGCAGTGCAAGGGAGCTTTTTCTTTTTTGAGATGGAGATGCTATGGAAGAATGGTTCAGTGGTTAGGTTAGCAGCACTGCCAAGACAGCCATGACAGACACCCATTCACATTAAAGCAGTATGTTGCAGGCTAACCGGCAGCATGGACACTGACTGTACCTTTAATTATATTTGTGAATAGCTGACTGTAGTTTTAAGGGATGCATTGTGCTGCAGGATGTTGTAAAAACATCTTGGGCTCTTGTTGGCTGATTTCTTATGTTGACAACTAAGTAGAAAGTCTAGGTTTACTGTATGTCTAATTTTAAGAGTAATTTCCTTAAAGTTGTGACCAAGCAGTTGGTCATTTTGGCAGAGAAGCTGCATTTCCACCTTCAAAAAGAAATGGCATCCCTGCATGTCTACATAAAAACAGGGTGTGTTGCTGCCCTGTGCTATACAACACAAACATGCTATATACCACTTTATTTTCTATCTTGTTGTTTGGTTTTTATGTGGCTAGAAAATTGGTCACAATGAAAATTCATTCAGCTATTAAAAGCAAGAGACAGAATAATAGCCCTTTTAACACGTTTTTATTTAATTATGATACAAACACAGTGTATTGTATTTCACTTTTTCTTTTAGTTTTTTATTTAGGGATTTTAAATTCATTCCATAATTATAACAGTTCATACTCGTATATTATGAGCTCTAGCAAAATCAAGGCCATGTTTATAAGTCTCTTAATCCACATCCCACACAAGGTTATTTAGTTAAAATTTTCCAGCAAATTAACATCTGGTTTTGAACACGATGTTCTATAGCTGGGCAGTTGAAGATCCAGTTGATTACCTGCATGCGTTTAAGCAAAGCCACTGTGGTCTTGGATTCTTTACTACATTTTGGTTTGATCCAGCTTTTGTTATTTAGAATGCATTACAAAACTACTTCCTCAAATGTCATTCAACAAGCTGGCAGAGACACAATCCTGACATGCTGGCATCTTATCAATTTGTTTGGCTAACACATTAGTCAGCAGTTGCCTAGAAACACCCAGCACACAGAGCAACAGTAGTGATCATTATGTAGTTATGCTTTGTGGCACCTGAGCCCAGTAAATCACTCTGTGTTCTGGAACATGCAGTTAATAAAAAGCCCCTTTCTGGGTTTTTGGCAGTAATCCAGATACAGTATGTTGGTACCTTTTGGGGCGGGTCCCCGTTATAGCAAAAACTCTTTGTGGTATTCGTACCAAAACCCAGGTAGCATACTGGCACCACCTTTTACATTTTCAAACCACACCAAGCTCTAAAACTGGCACAAGAATGACTGAGGCTACTGTTTGTAATCAGAGCTGATGTTTCTATTTGGATGTGTGTGATTTTACTGAGATAAAAAAAGGTTAGGCTATATATATTGAAGACTTAAAGAGACTACAAGTACAGGGTGGAATTTTCAAATTTTAATGCCATATTTTTCATCCTTGAGTTCCCACAAACATAGTATATTGTTAACAAAAGGCTTTTTGTACCACCTTTGTTTACATTAGCATACACTCTCTTTCAATTGGCTGATAGGTTAATGACATCACTCTTGATTTGCTGGTCTAAGATATGCACATTAGTAACATTGGTACCATTAGTGGTCACAGTATCTGCAGGGTACATTTAAAATGGTCCATATCTCCTTTGAGTTCAGCATCTGGTGAGTTTGTAGCTCTACTCACATGCTGCTATCACACAGCTGAAATTTTGAACACTAGCAGAATATTCACGATGCACTGCTTGGCTTCCTTGCAGCTTGCACTGAGTGGTTTTGGTTTTGTTTCATAAATTTACACTTAATGTTAAAGATTTTGTTGCAAGTTACCTTTGTGTTTTGCTTTTAACTGAACAGATGTATTGTTTAATGCATTATTCTTACACAGCTATTTGTATGATGAAGCAGTGATGATTCTCCCAGGTCTGAGAAGAAAAACAATAGTGAGAGCAGGAAGTTCAGAAATTGGTATTGGAATTTGTTTTAAGATTGAATTATCACATTTTAAAAAATATTCAAAACCACTTTATGACACCATTTTCAGTTGATATATACACAGAGTAGAATAAACATATGGTCATTTAATGTTTTGTATTCTCAAACAAAAATAACTGCTAGCGTGCCACCATCCTGAAGGGTAGTAAAATCATAAAAATCTCATAAAATCTTAATACTGCAAGCTATTGTTTGGCCTACTTCCTATTGTTTACAGTATATTTTGAGTTTCAACATGATGTCAGGTCAGGGGGAGTCTACATTTCTAAAATAATTGCTGGACATAGGGGGTAGTGTAATGGTGACATAGCTTTTGGTTTCTTTCTGTGGCCATTGGAAGATCTGCATAGTCAATATGTTATGTACTCTCTGCCTCCCCCCTCAGGAGCATGTCACACAAAGAAGACATGGCCAGTGAGCTTCTCTCAGGAGGAGCTGAGGAAACGCCTCACACCGTCACAGTACCACGTTACCCAGGAGAGAGGAACTGAGAGGTAGGAGGAGCCATGGAACCACTTGCTGACTGGAGCTTCTGAAGCTCTTGTATATATTTATGTTGACCACCATATATTGGCAACTTAGCAGTTACTCTTTTATCATGTCATTCATTTGACTGATACAGCTGTTTTCCACAGTGCGTTCACAGGCGAGTTCACACATCATAAAGATCAGGGCACCTACGCTTGTGTTGTCTGTGGGGCCCCGCTCTTCACGTAAGAACTACATTGTTTTATTTGTGCCTAACTCCCTGGTGTGTCTTGGAGTATGAGAGTGTCTGAGTGACAGCGTAAGCTTAAAGAGCTTAATAAAGGTGTAGGCATATTTTCCTAGAGGATCAGCTCATTTTACATCAAGGTTAAATGACTTTATCCTGAATTGGAAAAAACGCATTTTACCACATTGGCAGTCATAAGACTCTACTATAATATAAAAGAATAATGTTAGAAAGAGGAGCCAGTATACTTGAAATCATGATATCACTTTTATTTCTCATTGACATTTTTGTTTTTGTCTTCTTTTTTTTCTTTTTTTTTAGCTCTAACACTAAATTCGACTCAGGGTCGGGTAAGTTGAATTATCTAGTCTCCATGGTTTCTGACATGCAGCACAGCACACTTTTCCTCTCTGTCTTTAGAAGCTGGGTCTATTTTTGCCAGAGCTGACATCTTTTTTTTTTGAATGTAGAGAATGTACAGTAAATGCTAATCAATGACTTTCTTTATGTACATACAGAAAAACTACAAGTTCATATTACTTTCTCCAGAGTCTGTGAAGCGGGAGAATGCTAGGCTTTCCCTTCTCACAATAATTAATTAATTGTCATAAAAATTGTCTAATTCTAACAAATTTGGTCTCACTGGTGAGGATTAAAGGGATCGTCAATATCAGTGTCATATATAATGTAACATAACTTATCTAGGGCCCCAGCAGTCTTGTACTGGTGCATTTATGCATCATCTCCAGCCCTGTCTATGTACATGGTTGTAATTATTTCACATTTGTAAACAGGTTTAATATTTTATCCAGAGCTAACAGCAGCCCACATCAAACTCATACTGTCTGATGATTTATCACTGGTCTCTGCATGTCACTTCATCACGTCATGCTGTTATGTGTTCAGGCTGGCCGTCCTTCTTCGACTTGGTGAAGGAGGACTCTATAACTCTGTCTGATGATTTCTCCTTTGGGATGCACAGAGTGGAGACCACCTGCAGCCAGGTACACTATAATCCTCTGCATTACTCCTTTATCACAATGTAACTGTGCCACCTGCAGCCAGGTACACTATAATCCACTGCATTACTCCTTTATCACAGCATTTCACAGATGAATAAAAAAAATAAAGAACAGTTAAAGGCAAAATGACATTTAACTGTATTTGAAACTGAAATAAAGATGAATTAAAATAAACCTAATCAGACAGTTTGACCTTGTTGCTGTATCTAAATATTTTTAATAGCACAGATTTCCTTTGTGTTTCAGTGTGGCGCTCATCTGGGTCACCTGTTCAATGATGGACCAAGACCCACGGGAAAACGCTACTGTGTTAACTCGGCCTCACTGGCTTTCCAGCCCAAAGACGACCCCGCCTCCAGGTCCACAGTCGAGGATGTAGCTGCCAGCAGCTCCGTGAGCGACGGGAAGACAGAACTCTGAAAGACAGACTCAGGAACCACAGCCGACTGACCACTGTGTAGGGAGAGTCAGTCACACACATATAATAGTTGATTCACAGTGTAAAGATAAAGTAGGTGATTATATTGCTCAGGTGCTCAAGCCTCAGACACGAACCAGATACTCTTTGATGTATACTTTACCACAAGGAAAGTGCATGCTTTGAAAACAGCCACCATGTAGCCAAAGCCAAAAGATGTACTCCATCAGCTGGTTGCCTTATAAAGAGACCTCTCATTATTAAATCAGCCTGGTTGTTACTCTCAGATTTTCCTCTGTATTGAGTATTAGTCATGATAACATATTTGTAGAGATCTGGAAAAAGGGAGCAGGAAGGGGGTGTGGTATGTGATTCCAGAGAACTACTCTGTGATTACATTAAGGTGCTTGGGTTTCTTGCTGTTCTTACATTTCCCACCTGTCTCCAAGAGATGGCAATGAATAAAATGTTATGACCGCCCGTGGGCATGGCTCTGATAAAGAAAGGAACATTTTCTCTTAACTCCCTTTAATTTCCTAGTGGCATTTGGTCTGCTCATTTAAACATGGATGGGTGTAGTGTTGTAGACAAACACAATTTGTATGTGTCTTTATATAGCTGCGAGGACACATTCCCCAGAAAGTTCTGTAACCAGAAGTATTCAGACACCTTTCACTTTCCCCACACCACACTATTCTGTAGATTTCATTTTAAATGGATAAAATTGCCATTTTGCCCAATAATCTGCATACAGTTTGAATGTAAGAACCCATAATGAAAAAAATGAAAACCACTGCAGGCACAGGCATTAAATTCTCCTTCATAATAGTCAGTGTTCAGTTTTAATGTTCAGTTTTTGTTTTTTCAGAGGTGTTGATTCAACCACATGATAATTTAGGAGAAAGCTGCTGTTTGTAGTGCTGTTGAAATGTACTGCATTATACAGAGAGGTGTTTCTACTATTCATCTAGCTCACTTCAATACTTATGAAGTGACATTTGATACTGAGATGTAATGATATTGCCTATGCAAGTGCTCCTGTCAGCAGTCAGAGCATACTGTGACGGATGTACTGTGGCCATTAGGTCACTTTCTATACTTGTTCCTTCTTTTGTCCTTGACATTAGGATTTTTTGGTTGTTGTTTTCAGATTTTGTGCACAGCTTTCATTAGAACTGTTAGAGTAAATAAAATATTTAGAAACACTACATCTTTCTTGTTCCATTTTTTGAAGTGTATATACAACAAAATGGGATTTGTTGTTTTTTTTTTCTCTATTATAATAATAATAATAGTAATAGTAGTAAGGTCTAGACCTTACTTTGTAAAGTGTCCCGAGATGGCTTTTGTTGTGATTTGGTGCTATATAAATCAAACTAAAAATAATCTCAACTCAAGTGGTACTTTTTAGTTTTGGGGTTTTCCATCCCATTGCCTTCAGTGAAAGGAAATGAACTGGGAAATCATGTGACCTAAGCATGTAGCCAGAGGGTCAGACAGTTTTCAGGGAGGAACACAAATTCTTCACAAGAATTTGGTGAGATTATTGGGTCTGTTTTTATCTGTGATATCTTTTATCCATTACATCTATATGGTATGTAAGAATCTGTGGATATGTTTTTACAATCTTCTTGTTCAATTATTCTCACAGCCACAATTTTTATTCTTCATACATCATTTTTGTATTGAAATATAGACATTTGTTTTTCACACAAGCGTAGCCAAGCAAACTTAAAGGACCATACAGTATTTGTGATTTCGATCAGCCTCTTATGGTGATTGGTGGGAACTGCAGCAACATGAAATGGTTATTGCCAGTGTAAATGTCACACATACTCTCTTCTGTTCAGTAATCTAGAACAGAGCTGAGATGAAGTTGTTATCCTTGAATCATAGACATTAAAAACATCCATGAGTGGAGCAGTCTCTTCCAGCTTGAGTCAAAAAAAAAACAGAAGTCAGCAGTTTCACCCTTTTGCTTGTTCTGCATGCTGCTGAAGATTGACAGACGCACTGATCCACAGTTTTATAACCGATTTCAAATGGTGCTAGAAGGCTGTAGTGAGCTCTAAGCACCAGAAGAAATCAGTTATCTTTTGGTGGTGAAAGAAGAGTAGGAGGAGGGAGGAGGGAAGGGATGTCCTGTGCTTGTCCTCCTGGGGTCCACTCACTGCTGGAGCTGTCCTCCTCTCCCCAAGAACACTGATTTCAAATGGTGCTAGACAACAGGAACACACATCTAAACCACCACGTGAAACCAGCTTCTTGGGGAAGATGTTTTGGTGTCAGGCTACAGCAGGGGCAGGGAGTGATAAGTCCGGTCATTTTCTATGTTAATAGTATTTCCAGTAAGACTTGCACCTCTCAGGCTACATACAGACTGCCCTAACCATGGATGGAACCAAGGGGATAGCCAGAATCTGAATGGCCATCCCTGTTGCCACCCTTCTCTGAGTCTGTGTCCCAGGTTGGCAACCCGGTCCAAATTTTTCTAGTTCCACCCCTGGCCCTAACGCACCTTATTGGTGAAGGTTGTTGGAAATGTGCAGCCTGAAATTAATACCTGCAAGTACTACTCAGGGCAGAAAAATGTTTCGACTATGTTATTCAGGTAAAAAAAATAAAATAATCTATATTGTTATTTACAGTTAAGTTCGTATGTGATTATTTGGGAACACTTTCACGAAGAGTGATAAGTCTGTAGCCCGAAGCTTCACGTTGGATTATGTGACATTCTCAGATATCCCTGTTATTTTTTCCACCTCCAGAGACAAAGCTCTTCTATTTGACTTAAATTCCAACTTTTACTTTGTTGAAGAAATATCATTTTCATGAGTATAAGCTTCAAAACAATAGCAAAATATCACTCAAACATTGTGCAGCTTTAACATGGTTTACAGTTACATTTGCAGCCATAGCAATAATCACGCTAACAATGGTGGCTACAACTGCTTACAGTCAAACTGAAATTTGATTTCTCCACTTTTTATGTAAGGAAATATAAACTAAATTAATATTGCAGTAAGTGTGCATATTTCCTTATTTTTAAATATGTGTTGAAGGGGTTTGGCATCTATATTTGTACAGACGATTGTCTATTAGCCTTGTTATTGGAATGTGAACCATGAGTGGTTTTTTTCAGCGCAGCAGTCCACTGTGTTATTTACTATATGAACTTTAAGGTTGGAAACAACAGTTGGAAACGGAGGAAGTTGTCCACACCTTCTTGATCTTGTATTAAGAATGTTTTGCTGTTATTGTAATTATGTTTTATTTTGTTTCCAATTGTATGTTTTTTTCTAGGATATGTACCCATGCTTTCTTTTAATAGAATTTCCCCAACATTTTAGCTTGTACCTCAGCTGTCTAAGTACAGTCTCAGTCTATATGGGAAACTACACAACATACTGTCATGCAAGGTCATTGCATGCCATTCATGCCATCATCAATGAATGTCTTCACAACTACAGAAGGACCGTTTCCTGGAAGAGAGCAGAACAGGAAGCTGGAGTGAGAGTTGAAAACAAGCACTAGCCTCACCTCCACTAGGACGCTGTTCTCTCCTGAGGGGAAAAAGGAGAGGTAGGTATTTGTGTGTATGTCCCTCACTCCTGCATTCATACTGCAGAAGGTCGGTTTGATTAAGCCTTCCCTGTTTCCATTTTCTCTTAGACTCCTATAAAACCTTTGAGCAAAGTGTTATAACTTTTTCTTTTAGACACTTGTGTGCACAGACTCTTTTAGGACAAGAGGTCCACCTTGGCAGTGGGGCTTTTATTCCAAAAAGGGCCATGGAAATGACCTTCTGTAGTGACATTATGACAAAAATTAAGCATGTAAGGACACAGACATCCATGCATCCCTTTATTTTTTACCTACACCTGCTTGTTCTGTGTATGGTCATGAGGCAGGGTACCAAAAACGTTTTTTTTTTTTTATAGGAAAACAATTTGCATCCATTCTAGCTTTTCCAGGTGGAGTACATACAGACTTCGTTCTACAGCAACACCTCAACAAAAGAAAATCTCATAAATCTTTACTGGCATTCAGCCCCCAACCCTTGCTGGGCCCTCTGCTTCACCAGACAGACCATCACACATATCCAGGCCCCTGAAGCTTGCACTGATCCTCCCTTCCTGTCAGAAACCTCTCCCTATGAACCATTGTTCATATGCATCTATTTTAGGGGTGTGTATCTCTCCCTCTCACACGATTCGATATGCATCTCAATACATGGTCCTTGATTAGATACAAAAATGATACTGCAATATTTGTAATGACACGATACAGTAGTATTCAGAATGATAGTTGATTGTTATTGAGTTTAGGTCTGGACTAGGGGTGTGTATCGCTCCCCCTCACACGATGCGATACATATCTCCATACACGATCCATGATTAGACACAAAAACCTTATGATACAGTACAATTCAGAAGATAGTCGATTTTAATTTAGGTTTTATTTGAAAGACTATACATACACTAAAGTACCTTTTAAGGGTATAAAATTAAAAAGAGTCAGTGTTTCCTCAAAAAAGTTTTGTATTTCAAGCATCAAAAGCCAAATAGTTAAATATGACGTAAACTCTTTCTAACAATAGTAAACTATGAGCACTGGTGAACAGTAAACCTCCAGCTGCTGTTTCACCTCATCATACAGAGCTGGAATTCATTTTTCACCTAAATCCTGCTGACTCGTTATTGTGTGCCTCAGCTTCAGTGACAGTCATTTGCCCAAATCTCACATTTTCAACAACTCAGTAGTGACCTTGCAAAGGAAATAGCTTAGCCTATAACTTTAGCTACTGACTTCAACCCAACCAGGTGGAATTATCAGATGATGTGCTCTGAAAGTAGCTGCTAACACTAACACTGTTACTTGCTTCAAGCTGACTGCCCTCGCAAGCAGACTGTACTGTTTCCATTGGTTCAACAATGGTTCGCTACTAGTGAGGTCCGTGTTACTCCTCCCAATGTATTCAACACAATAGTATAGTTACAGACTAACTGGAATTGTTAAAAGTCTTCTTTTGTTAGATAATCTTAGTAGAACAGTGTCAGTGGTTGGACAACTGAGCGGACCTGGCTCTCAGAGGTGACCGTCATTACAAGCCAGTTGGGCCAGCCATTGTTTAACCTGAGCAAATATTGTATAATGCAGATGCTGTGTGTCAAGACACGTATCTGCTCTTTGCTTGGGTGAGAATAAGGTTCAGGGATGCTTTGTGGGGTAGGTTAGATCTGGCAAGTGGTGCTGCTTATTGTTGGGCTCTGAGATTTATGATGGCATGGCCTGACACCCCCCTCTGTGGGGCCAAATAATGGGTAAACATCATTTAACTCATATACTGACCTTCCATATGAATGCACTCCCATTCCTTTGCACATTCATTTGTGTATTAGTGACTGTAAACACTAACATTGTTCTGTTCTGCTTTTTTAATCAATCAATGGGCTTTTTCAATAAAAGATATTGGAAAGTGTGCAAAGATAACAAGCCTATTTCAGCAGCATGTGAAGGCATACCCTATAGTATTAGATAGGCAGCCCAGCAGTAAAAATGTTCTGGGCTGCCTAAATCCTGACTGTATCATGTAAGCATACAGGTGACATGGACCTGAAGAACAAAGGGTAAGGTTGGAGGAGGAAGAACTAGCACAAGCCCAATATAACAGGTGCACTACTGAATGTTATGTCTTATTTGAAGTAAAGTAGAGCTCTGTACATCAATACATGTGATCAGGTCAGACCACTCCCAAAAGTTATTTACTGCTTCATGACATGAAATGAATGCATAGTATGTTGTACAACACACCACACATTAAGGTGGGGATATCTGATTTCCTTGTCAGACAGCAAAATTGAGTTATCTTGCTGTATTCATTCCTAATTTTTGGGAGATGTTCTAAGTAATGTGATTAAACCCATTGGGACTGCTCTTCTTATGAGCCGTTTTTGTTTATTGTTGTTATTGTTTAGAAGAAATAGGGGCAGTACAGTAGAGAGAGATAGCTACATATCTAACAAGCTTTTTTTAAATCAATTGTGACAGTGCATTAATGAAATCAATAGTTTATAGTTTATCTTAATCTCAGTCTGATTTTTGTTCTAATTATTGTACTATTGCCGCCCTTGTAAAACTCATCATCTTTACATAAAGGTCAGTTCATCAGTGTTTATTGATTTAGCTGATCTTTGGTTCTTCTTGA